CATTGATGGGAAAGTTTCCAAGAAATACATTACTCTTTATTTCTTGTTTGTATACTGTACAAGTCAGAGCCTTGCTGGGGCTTCTCTCAATTTTGGTTGATCCATTTAATTTTCTCTTTGCCTTAGTGGTTAGTTGATCAACCCAGCAACCATTGCCCTGCACCATGCACCCTTTTCATAACAGGCAGTGTCAAAAATGCACCCATTCTTGTGTGCACCCAACAGGCCCCACGAATTTTTATTTATTCAACTTTTTTTAACCATAAATTACAATTATTCTTCTTTGGCTCAAGTTGTCTCAATTTTCACCAGTGGGAGGCCCTTCGAGCTGATTCCTGTGTTCTTTTAACACACGTGCATTAATCTTTGACTACTTATTTGCTTTCTGGCAATAACATATATTGTCAACTTCTGGATTTTTGCCCATCTATTGGGTGAAAAATGGTATATCAATTTTGAGTATCTACCCAAAATAGAGTTAGATTGAACATCTCTTCCTATTTAAGGGCTACTTATATTTTCTTCAGATTTGCGCTCAATTTTTGCTATATTTTCAAGACCTTTTTATATATGAGGAATATTAGTTCTTTGATAATAGTTGCAAAAATTTTCTTCCAGTTTGTCATTTGTGTTTTGACTTTAGATATATTTTTTTAAAATATTGCTTTGATTTTTTGCTTCTTTATTGAGATATTATTCATATACCATAAAATTCATCCATTTAAAATGTACAATTCATTGGCTTTTAGTATATTCACAGAGTTGTGTATCCATTATCACAATCAACTTTAGAACATTTTCATTACCCCAAAAAGATATCCCACACTTCATCCTTCTAGCCCTAGGCAACCACTAATTTATTTTGTTTCTACAACTACTGGTTGGTTTTTTTCTCCCAATTTTTATGTAGTAATGTTTATCTCCCTTTTTTATTGCTTCTAGGTTTTGAGTCATAGTTTGAAAGTCTTTGCTTATTCTCAAGGTATAAAGGAATCTACCCTTGACTTCTTGTAATACTTGTACAGTTTTATTTTTTACATTTAGATCTCTGATTTATTTGGAATTTATCTGGTAAATGACATGAGGTATGAATCTAATTATTTTTTTCCAAATGACTGTATAGTTCCAACACAAAGTCCCTAAGTATTAGTTTCCTATTGCTGCTGTAATAGTAAAATAGATCTCCTTTTATTAGATATTTCTATTTCTCATTGCATTTCCTATGACTTCTACCTTCTCCAGCTGCTGTGTTATTCGTGCATAGGTAATTATAACTGTTACAGTTTTGCTGTGAATTGTGGCCTTTAACATTGTAAAATGTCTTTCTTTGTCTTATCATTTATGGTATTATTTTTTACTTAAATTATTTTTTACTTAATTATTTTTTACTTTTTTACTTAAATTATTGTACCATGTCAGATATCAAAATCACATTTTTTTTTGCTTTTGCCTGATACAACTTTATCCATTCCTTTATTTTTATTAATTTTTTAATTATTTTTACTTTTGGTGAGGAAGATTGGCCCTGAGCTAACATCTGTGCCAATGTTCCTCTGCTTTGTATATGGGACGCTGCCACAGCATGGCTTGATGAGTGGCGTGTTGGTCTGTGCCCAGGATTCAAACCCACGAACCCTGGGCCACCAAAGCAGAGCACGCAAACTTAACCACTATGCCACCAGGCTGGCCCTCCATTCCTTTATTTTTAGGCTTTTGTAATTACTTTGTTTTAGGTGTATCTCTTTGCTTTATGAGTCATGAAAACTTTACAGGATATGGCCTGACTGCCATCAGTTCCCTCTACAGCCATCAATGAGATTTTTCTACTTTCTCTCTCTTTCCTTTTCCTCACATTTATTTTAGTTTTATTATTTCTATTTGTCAGAACATATAACACTTTTATACTATTCTTCCACTCTTATCCTCATTTTGTTTTAATCTTAGATCTTCAATTTAATATTCTCAAAGCACACCACCAGTCCTTTAGCTGAAATTTCTCCAATTATCCTTTAGTTGAATTATACTCATTCCCTATAGATTCCTTAAGAAGAGTTTAGAGTTTATCTTTTCCCAGTTAACTATTTTTGCATAATAAATTCCCCCCAAATCTAGTGGCCTAAAAAAAAAAAAAAAACCACCATTTTATTATATCTCATGATTTTATGAACCAAGAATTCAGATAGAGTTTGGCTAAGCGTTTCTTCTGCTCCATGTGGCATTGGCTGATGTCACTGTGATATTCAGCTGGCATCTGAGGTAGTCTTGAGGGTCCAAGATAGCTTTGCTCACATGGCTAATGCTTTGGCAGGGATGGCTGCAAAGGCTGGGCTCAGCCTCTTTCTCTTCATGTAGTCTCAGAGCCTCTTCATGTGGTCTTCTCAACAGGGTGGTGGACTTCTCACATTGTGGCTCTAGGGCTCCAAGGGCTAGTTTTTCCTGAGATAGGAAGTGGAAGCTGCCAATTTCTTAAGGCCTGGACCTAAAAACTGACATAGTATGACGTCCACAATATTCTATTGGTCAAAGTAGTCATGGAGCCCGGATTCAAGAGGAGGGGACTTAGAACTCACCTTTCAATGGGACGAGTGTCAAAAGAATTTGTGACTATCTTGAGTCCACCACAAATATTCCCTGAACTATTGCATTTTAAAAATTATTTTTCTATAGCCTTGAAACTTGAATGGCAGCGTGGGGGGATATAAAATCTTTGGCTCCTATTTTCCTTAAGTTTCCTGAAAATGTTTCTCCACTACTGTCTTGCTTTGTTTATTGCTCAGTTTATTGAGAAATTTGATGTCAATTTTATCTTCTTTTGTAAGTGACTGGATTCCAAAGGGTATTTATTTTTTAAGGTCCAAGAGTTTTACTAGTTTATGCCTCGAAGTTGACTAGCCTGGGACAATTTCCCCATGTATACAATGCATTCTTTTATACATAGTTCAAGATGTTTTTCTTTCAGAAAACATCTTGAATTATACTTTTGAACATAGTTCTAATCCATTGTATTGTATTTTATCTCCTAGAATTTCAATTATATGTACTTTGGATCTTCTTTTTCTGAATTACTTTTTTTTGATCCTTTTTATCTCTGCCTCTATTTTCTGAATTTTCTTGGCTCTTTTAATTTCTGTCCTCTATGACCCTTACTGTACTTGGTCCTATACATGTTTTCTGGGCACCTTGTAATTTAGTCTTCATTATTGAAATGATTTAGTCTTTTTAAAAAGATTTTCCCAGAGTTTATTCAGATTCTATCACATATCTCTCTATTGCTTATTCATTTCTATTCTGAATTTTTAATTTCTGATTTGAGGTATTTCTTCACATCTGTGATTGCTTTTGTAATTATATTTAGTTCGTAGTAGGATTCTGTTTAGTTTTCCTCTGCTTCATAGTTTTGTTTTTTATTTTTCTTTGCTTGCTTTTTAGTGTTTTCATCTGTGGTAAAGTTTTGATTGTTTTTTTGTTTTGTTTCACATAGTAACTTTGCATGGATCCTAAGTTCTTTTCTCATGATTATTTATATTATGTTTTCTGGGTCCAGAAATAATAAGCAATCCTATAGCAAGGAAGAAGGGATTTGGTGGCTTACTTTGTTTCTTAGTTCAAGATTACTTTCTTTTGTTGATAAAGTACAGATCCCTTAATAAATTTTGCTTTAAAGAATGTTTGCTTCTAATTTTTATCTTATTTTAATATGTCCTTACATTTAGCCACTTCCTTCTTTGCCTTTATCACTAGGCTTATAAGGGACATCACCGCCTATCTGTACTTGTTCAATTGTTTGGAGGAAGTGTACGCAGCACTGTTAAATAAAATTTCATGCACATAACAATGGTTATAATCTGAAATATCTTCTAAATATGATCATTTTGGCCTTGAACCATTCTCTCCTCATTTCCTTCTTTCTACCACCAATCCACTGGACAAGTACAGGCATGTGTAATGTTTAGAGGTGGTCGAACAAATTCATATCCAAAAGTCATTTACAGAAGACAAGCTTTCCTATGAATTTCCCACAAAGGGTACAAAACGTGCTAATTCTACTAACTATTTTGTCACATACTGGCAACCTCTTTAACATCTAGAGATTAGATGTTGCAAAATTAGGACTCATTTGTCCATTATATACACGATACACACAGCAAAAAACAACGTACGTAATATACTGAAAGATAGTTTTGTCTGAAAATGTCCAAGTATGAACACACTAGCATATTACCATTTGCAACTCTTTTCCTCCCAGTTCCTTCAAATAATTGAACAAGTATAGACAATAGTACACTGCTTACAGAGGCGATTTAACAATTCTGTTCCCAAAAGACAATATTTCCTATGAATTTTAGCAAAAATATATTTACAAAGTGATATTTTGCTACCTCTACATTTAAAATACATCAAGCACGTCTAGACATCTAGATAGACTTGATATTTCAAATAAGGACTTAATTTCTCCTCCATAAATATACAGAGCAGTCTTGAATAAACTGCACACATATAACGGCAGTTATAATCTGGTAGTGTCTTCGAAGTGTGAACATTCTGGCCTAAATTCTTCTCTTCTTCCCTCCTCCATCAACTCAGTGGGCTACAATGCTCAAATTTTCAGAAGATAATTTTTACTAGGAATTTTAGCACAAAATAGACAAAATGTATTAGTTTACTAGACAAAATGTATTAGTTTACTAACCCTACTTTTGTCATACATTGGCAACCTCTAACGTCTGGAAAGACTATATGTTGTAAATTAAGACTCATTTGTCCATTACAATCACTATGTACACAGCAAAGTAAAGCAAAATGCACGAACACAAGGGACAATGGTTAATCTTGCCTCACTATAAACGCACTGGCATAGAGCTCTTTGCACTTCCTTCTCCTCCCCCTTCCTCCAAACCAGTGCACAAACACAACATGTACTGCTTAAAGAGGTGGTTTGGCCATTCCTCCCCTCCAAAATAAACTATATTTCAAGTGAATTTTAACAAAAAGATTTTACAAAATGTGATATTTTACTACCTCTACTTTTAACATATATCAGGCACTTCAGAGCATCTGGAAAGACTAGCTATTTCAAAAAAGCACTTCATTATATATAGTCAGTAGTGAGGAATAAAATGCACATACAAAACAATGGCTATAATATGAAAATGTCCTCCACATATGACCAGTCTGGCATAGAACCTTTTTCTTTCCTTCTCACGTAAGCAACATGAACATTCTAACTCTCCTCTGTCATACCACTCCTTGCTATTTCTGGTCTTAGCATGTAATCTTCTTGTGGCCGAAGTCATCAATTATCAGTGACCTGCTGGGAGCGCTGTCTGATTTTGTGCTTAGTTCCTCTTCCCAATTCTTGGTGTTCTACCATTGTCTGGTGTTCTACCATTAACCTACTGGCCCTTCTACAAGGCTTCACTGTTTTGGCTCCAAGCAAAATCCCAACGTTGGATATAACATCACAATAGAAATCTCTACAGACTTTGAGTTTCCCTAAGTCTCAGCCAAAATGCTTGTTTAGTTTGTTTTTTTACAAGTTGAGGCTAAATTTCAGTATAAATATAGAATTGGGTTAGTCCTTGAAGGCCTCCCTTAATTGGATTCCACTTGAAGATTCTTATTATAAAACTCACTCAACCAGACCTTTCAGTCTCTGAAATTCTTAACCATACAGGAGGCTGAGAGGGAGCCAGAAGTGTAAATTCAATGACACTTTTTATTTTAACAGCAAGAAAATCGAAAAGCAATCTGAGAATTAGAAATTTCTTATCTTTATCACACATAATCTTTTCTCTTAAGAATCTGCTGTATGTGGCTAAAGTTTTATTTGCAATATTATATACCTCAGTTCACCATTTAATCTTTCATAATAAAGCAATTTCCGTGTTACGACTTTGTGAGTCAAAGCAAGCCAGTCTTTTTTTTTTTTTCCTCTAAAGGCTTTTCTATATTAGTTCTGTAATCACACTTACATTTTTTACCCTCTTGCCCCCATGTTTGGAGTTCTTTACTAAATAGATTATAGGATGCTTTATCATACACACAGAGAATAACTAGCCAAGGAATCTATTACATATAACAGTAAGTGGTATGATTTTTTAAAAATATCTACCTAGCTCTGAACTGCAAATATGCTTTGCTTAGTACAGTGATGCAAATATGACTATGGATTCAATAGTGGAAAAAGTCTTAAATTTACATCCATTATTCTTTAGAAATTGCATAAAATGCAATCACAGAAATGTGTTTAGAATGATTTACTTTTCTTTGTACTTACATATTTAAAATACATATTTTCCAATAAGTTTTTTGCACAAATTTTTACCATTTTAATTATTAAACTTTTGCTATCAGAAGACTGTTCCTTCATCTGCTATGTGCAGGAACCAAAAGACCCCTGAGTTAGATAAACTGAAGCTTTGGAGCTTTACATTTAGACTACATAAATTCTATTTTAGCAAGACTAACACAAAGAAAGGCGTTTTTATACACTGATCGATTACCTGATGTTACGTATGCCTTGTGAAAATACAAAATGGGTTCAGCCCTAGAGATAGTAACCTCTTTCATTTATCAGTTAGCAAAGCCAGAGGATTCTGAATTGAATGCAATTCTACATATCTGAAAAACACATGCACATTCAAGATCTGTTATTATATATATTAATATAATAATATTATTATTATCATCATCATTATTGTCGATATCCCTTTTTGCTCTCCATGTGTTGGTTCTCCATAAAGTGGGACACGTAGTGTTGGTACCCATACCATGGGGCTTGCAAAGCCTATAGCTGGGCCAGTGACTACCACATTGTGCAGGAAATCTAGCAACTCTTGAAGTATAGCAGGAAGTAACATTCAGGTCCGAGTAGGCCTCTTGTTCCTACACTCTTTAGAACTGATATTTCATTTGGTGGATCCAATGATTCCATAAATGTCATGAAGGTTAGGCAGAGACCAGAAATATGTGTCTTACTTGACCATCAAACATTTCCGGATAAAGTATCAGAGAGGAATTTTATAACAACAGTGAACAGCCTCTCCTGGTTCTCCTGGTGAGTCTGTTTTTTTCTCGCTCCCTTTTGGTTAGCATTGAAAGGAATTTGGAAAATACTACTACTTATCTCTCATATTCATTCCCCTTATTCCTTTTAATAAAAACGATGCCCTAAGTTTTAGCTTAGCACATCACTGATCAACCGGAGATTACATTTCTCAGCCTGCCTTGTCGCTGTGTGAGGCCAAATAGGATTCACATCATTGGAAGGGGAACATAACAGATGTGGAAATTCTGGGCATGTCCATAAAGAGAAGCCCTTTCTTCTGGGCTCCCTCTTTTCCCCTTCCTCCCATCAGGGAAAATGGCAACAACAAAAGGAGCTGCCTTGGACCTAGAGATGGAAGCTACGTATTAAGGATAGTTGGACCGACCCAGCATCCTAGTCTTTGGATGAGTGCACGGAACAGAGCCACTCTTTTAGTAATACAGATGGTTTACTTCTGGATTGTTATATTAAAAGGAAAGAAATTTCTAATTTAAGCTGCCGTATTTTGAGGTCTCTTTATTACCGCAGGTTAGCCTATGTCCTAACTCATGGAACAACTCAGAAAATCTTAACTGCTGTAAGAATCAGCATAAACGTCATTTTCATTGTCTTAATGATATATCACCTGATGCATTCACTAATAAACTTCTCATGTCAAGATTACCATGTTAAAAACTCAACAATGACAACATACAACATAGTAGGTGCAATACAACACACAGTGCAACTTACAATGACAATAGCAAATACATACCCTGAGCAGTATTTTTGTGCTGAGTAACGCACGTATGCAGACTTCACATCTCTTCCCCAGAGACTGGAGTATCAGAGAGGAGGTGCATGCCTACAGATCCTTCAGAAAAGTCAAGAGTGTGATTTGGAAATGGGAATGGAGAGACGTGGTTCAAGTATGGAACCACAGTTATATCTCTCTTGGAAACACACTTGCTGCTAAGTAACTGGTACTAAAATATATTTGAAACTGAAATTGACAGTTTCAGTGAAACTTGAGGGCAAATATACCACCCTCAGAGGGCAAAAAGGCAGAGGAATAACATGCATCCTCCAATGTGTGCCTTTTGGTAAAATCCATCACTTGTTCAGACTGCCGCCGATCAGGCCTATTTTCTGCCATTCCTCCCTTTTATCCTCCAGAGAGAGGGCTGGCTAGGCTGAGACTCAGGGCAGCTGCAGGCTGACAGGAATTTCTGGCAGTGAAGTTGTCTTTAGGTTTCTCTGTGTTATTGGAATTCTATTTCCAAGGATTTTTAATGCAGCAATGGAATATATTAGAATACTTGTATTATTCACTAGTCCTACCTAGCTACACACAAAAGAGTTTATTCTAGATTCAGGGCAATGTCTCTGGGTCTTAGAAGTTTCACAGACATGTGTATTCCTTTGTACAATCTGGAAAGAGGCCGATGTGAGAATTTCCCCTTGAGAAAGAAAACAGCCTCAAGCATCTGAAACCTTCCTGCCACAAATTTATCCTCTCCTGAGAAGCTCAAATCTCCTCTCCAAATGTATGAATATGTATAGAGAATCTTGTCTTTCATGCCTGAATACATGGGTTACGTACTGCTGAAAATCTCTGAAAAACAGACTTAATTAGTATGGGAACATGCCTGAAAGCACTCATATAGGGAGAAATCAAATGACTTTAACTTTATAAAGCCCATCAAACTGAATGCTTCTTGCCCACAGATCTTGAAAATGCAAGTTATTTATTTTAAATGCTCACATTTACAATTCACATTAGTAAAATTATTATATTCCAGCAGGGTCACTGAAATTAGCACTACTGTGACCTCTCTATTGTGTGTCCCATCAGTCATTCAATGCATTAAGTCACTCTTGAGGGCAAGGCACTGTGACAGGTTCCTGCGAGACAAATGCCTTCACCATTTACACCGTAAAACCAACTGTTACTGTGTGGTAGGTTGAATACAAAAAATAATGACAACTGGTCCTTGCTTTTACGAAACTTAGAAGCCAGCTGAGGAGCAAGAAACAAATGTGACGTTTAACTCTTTTTCAGAGATTTCCAAGGCCAAGTGTTTTTAGCTGCTAAACAGAATGAGTGGTATAAAAAAGTAATAAAAATTACCAAGGTGCCCAGCCATGGGCCAAGGACTTTCCACTCGTTATCTCGTCTAATCTTCTCCACAGCCTCTGAGGTATGATTGCCATTTGGGGAAACTGAAGTTTAGAGAGGTAAAGTAATTTGATTAAACTCATGCAACTATTAAGTGAAGGGTCTGGGACTAGAATCCAGACCTGTTCCTTCCAGTGACTTGAGTTTAGTGGTCGAATTAGACTCTTCGGGGAGAAGTGACCTGACCTGAGCAGAGTTTTAGAGAAGGAGCATTTGGCCAAGAGAAGAACAAGGGCCTGGTGAGTCAGGTCTGAGGGAATGAAGGACCGGAAGGGGGGAGCCTGAGGCTTGCTTGCCTGCCCAGGAAATGCCCTCAATCCCGGGGTAATTGCTTCTTCTTTTTGTTAGGACATACAGAGAGCTAAGCCGTTAGTTGTCTCTACTAAACTCACTTTCCACATTTGCATTTGCTCTTAGTTAGTTTTTGAGACAGAAAAACCTGCATTCTATAATTCAAATTAAAAGCCTTCAGTTTCTTTCTGTAGAAAGGCATCTGGATATTAGCATTTCCAACTGTGCCTAGGAGCCAAGAAGAAGACAAATACATCGGCAAGTTGACTTTTCATTATGTCCTTGAGCAGATCCTCGCAGTGGAAACTTTAGTCCAATTAAGGTTTCTGCCACAGACCTAAGGTTCAAATAAAGCTACTAAATTTGTAAAGAAGATTCTGTTTTAGACCTGCTGGAAATTTCAAGCTGGTATCTCCTAGGGTTTCCAAGATACAGTTGTCTCCAAATTGGCCCTTTGTGTTGTGCCCTAGGGCAGCACAGCAGTGTTGCAATCGTGTCTAATTAACCTCCTGCTAAACGCAAAATGTCAGAAAGGCAAACCACCAAACTGGAGCAAGATGCTGGGTTGTTGTTATTTTCAACAAGGA